GGCTGACATTGATTCAATGTTGTTTCAATCATTCTGTGCTATCTGGGCAACCTGCTGGGTTTCTGAAACCTGTCTGCACTTCTTTTAAATGTGTGTAACGCCGTTTTTTTTGCAGCTCCTGAAAAAAGTAAAGCTAGAATCTGGAAGAACGAAGAAAAAGAAGAAGAGCCTTTAGAAAAGGTTCTGTCCTCTGAAGTCAGTTTAATCCCTCTAAGAACCAACCTGAGGTCAGTTCAAGCAATTCACACGTTTAGCTTAATGCAGAATGGAAATGAAAACCTATGCAGTAAACATTCATGAGACCCCATTTGACAGGTGTAATCTGAAGGTTTTACTTCCTTATTTTACAGTCACCAGCCAACAGAAGACTTCTGGTCTCTGAAAAACTGTAAGTTAACATGGATTTTATGTGCTTAGCATTAGCATTAGCTTCCACCAAATACCATGTTGATACAGGGCTTTAGCATTAGCGTATCTAGGTTTTTAGTGAGCCTTCCCAGTTTGATCTGCCAGCACAGTTGAGTTGGGAATCAAGTCAGATAAATGTGAACACTTTACATGAGAAAAATGACTAAATATTTGGGTTTTCACTTGGACTTTCACAAAGTGAATCATGACTTTACTTACCGACTCTACACTTTCATTTTCACGAAAAAATACTTGGTATCTCACACAAACATCAAATGTGTTACAAAGAAGAAAGCCTGGTGTAGAATCCAGCTCCATGTTGTCTACCTGCCATCGAGCTCATGAAATGTTTTTGTTATTGTTTTACCAACAGCTGCAATTTATCTGACCTTTGACCCCAACACGGCCAACTCAGAGCTTTGCTTAGCTGACGGCAACCGAAAGGCAAGTCGAGACTGGTTGACAGGTGGGCGTGCGGAGCATCCGGAGCGATTCGAGCATTGCCCCCAGGTTCTGTGCAGAGAGGGGCTGCTGGACTCGGCTTACTGGGAGGTATCATGGAGCGGCGGCGCCGACATTGGCGTCACTTACAACAACATCTCCAGAAACGGAGACACGGCGAGCTGCCTGCTGGGTCACAACGAGCGGTCCTGGAGTCTGGAGTGCTCCAGCGGGTTCTACACGCCGAGCCACAACAACAAGAGATTCCAGTCCTGCTCGCCTGAACCCTTCAGCAACAGGGTCGGCGTTTACCTCAACTGCCCAGAGGGGACGCTCTCGTTTTTCTGCGTTTCCAAGGACGCGATGGTTCACCTGCACACCTTCACCTCCACCTTCACGGAGCCGCTGTACCCCGGGTTCTGGGTGTGGGCCAGCGACGGCTCTGTGACTCTGTGTCAGGTGGAGCTGAACTGGGAACGTCTTCTGAAGTGAGACTAACGGTGCGACTGAAGAACTGCTGACGATTTCCAAACTGTCAGTCTTCTGCTGCGGCTGAGTGAATGATGCTGGCGTTAACCGACCGTCAAACATCTTCTCATGAAGGACACTATATGTATGAACCAAGGAAGTGTTACTTTACAAAGATTTCATGACAAAGACTAAATGAATAAATATTTAAGTATAATTAATGAATTCTGTCGTGTTTACATGGTACCCTCCTCATGCAAACCTTTAGAAAGCCAGAAGCTATTACTCAAACTTCACATTTCCATGTTTTTGTTCTTCCAACTGGGTTTCTACTGCTTCTAGAAACAGCACAAGCACTTAGAAAGACCACCAGATGCTTTTCAGTGATAAGTTAATGTTTTCTGGCATCTGTAAAACGACCTGTTTCAAAAACCTTCCCAATGGAACGTCATAAATCAGCAGCCACTGCCCTGTTACCTAGCAACCCCAGCAGAGTTCCGCCCGTCACCTAGCAACCCCAGCAGAGTTCCGCCCGTCACCTAGCAACCCCAGCAGAGTTCTGCCCGTCACCTAGCAACCCCAGCAGAGTTCCGCCCGTCACCTAGCAACCCAAGAGGAGCTCCAGCACGTCTGATCAGCTGATTAGAAGCAGCTTATTTGACAAGAAGCCCCAAAACAGCTAAAATCTCATAATCCAATAATGATTTTGTGCAGAAAATGTAATGAGCATGTTTGGTATCCCCTATAGATCTATCGTAATCTGTTCAAATGTGACATTCATTTAATTTAATTTATTTTTATTTAAGGAAGACCCACCCCTACGTTTCTGTTTTGTATCCCTTTCTGTGCTATTTCATGTGTGTGTTGGTGTGTGCAGCCCGTCTCACCGGCAGTTGGCTCTCCTGACCCCCTCTGGCCTCATGCAGCTCTTTTTCTAGCTGCTCCAGACGAGCTGCTCGCATCTGCAACACATAAATCGCATTGAAACCGCTTAAAAATGCTGTTTATACCAGAAACTTTCACTGTTGACACAATCTGTGTCATCTGCAGGGGCGTATCTAGATTATTATTCTCAAGGGGGCCTGGCAGGGGAGCAACTGGGGGGCACACCAAAATGACAATTTAATCTAAATGCACTGAAGTCTTAGATTACAATGAACAGTAGGACAAAACTTGAATAGTAAAACTATTTATTTTATTTTACATTTTATTTATTTATCATGTTAAAACTATGCAGTAGATTTGTTTAGGTTTAGGATACAAGCTCATTTTTCTAGTCACATGATTAGCCTGCTTAGCTTAGCATGGCCTTACCTTGCCTAACTGTTATGCTGACTCTATTCAACTTATCAACTTAAAGTGAAAATTAATGAACCATATAGAGTACTAATAGAAAACAACAGTTTAATTCTCCCTTTTCTTCTTCATAGGGAGTTTTTTGTGCAGCAGTCTAAAGCTGCTTTTTCTTATTATTATTAAACATCATAAACATCAACCTACCAATGGGACAAGGGATGGAAATTAGTCACTTTGATCTCAAGCATTTGCATGTAAATGTCAATTAAAATATAATGTCTCATTTTTAAAAAATAAACATGAAGTAATGAACAAAGAACCAAACTATTGATGGTGGTTGTAAGAAAACAAAAGGAGCGATTCTGTCGTCTATAGACACCCACAGACAGCAGTAATAAAATTCTTATTTCCATTTTATTACGCCTTTCTGTTATTCTGATTAGTGCGGCTGCCAGCAGCCTCACCTGAGTCCTGTGCACCATCTCGTTGCTTGCTAAGTAGCGCTCCGCCATCAGAGACCGATGCACTTTGTCCTCCAGATTCTGTCGGATTAGATCTAACTGAAGAGAAATCTGCAGCAGCACACAGAGGTCAGAGGTTAACTAAAGACGGTGAGGTAAAGGAAGCAGCGACCTCCACGTTATGTTTGGTTCTCACCTCATCGATGCGCGGCAGCTGTGCCAGCCTGTGACACGTATGTGAGAGCACCTCCAGGCGTTCCCGCTCCTCTCGGTCAATTTCTCCCAGCAAAAAGTTCCTACAGGGACCAAAATCCCACCGTTGGCCTCATTTTCATGTAATAATTCAATAAAACCTCTACACAGGAACTGAGACGATGCTTACAGTCTGTCATTATTAGCTATTAAAAATGTTATGCTTGCTCCTAATTGAGTTAACTAGTTAAAATGTACTGTATTTTTAAGTTACGTAGATTATGTACATGTGAATTTTTCAGTTGATCCCAGTTTGTCTCTTCAGTTTCATCTAGTAAAAGCTGAATTATGCAGACTTGCTACTTAGTGTATGAGCTGTTTTCCAACCATCAACTTTTTAATTTTATAGTCAAACGCTCAGATTTTTTTATACTCCATATTATTTGATCTACCGAAGTGCTTTTACCCACTAGCTGCTATGCTAACAGCGTAGCCAGACTGCATAAAACAATGTTATGTCTAAACTCCTCAGATGCTACAAAATTATGTAATTTACATCAAATTTATGCATTTCATCACTCAGTTAAACTTTATTTTTATTACCTCCCATCTTTAATTTCCATTTTTTAGTTTTCCAGATTTCATTTGTTGCTAACATGTTGTGATGCTAAGTAGAAGCTTGAAGGACAGAGACTTCATAATTCATTTTATTTGTTGTTTTTATTGTTTTATTTATTTTTGGTTATTTAAAATGTCTTCCTGTTTCAGTGTTAAATGTTCTTATTTAACATTATTATTATACTTTTATATTACTTGAAAATGGTCTCAAAACAGGATTATTATTGTTTATCTGAATAACTTCTGAGACATTTTATCGTTCAGAAACATTTATTATGACATGTTTCTGAGTTATTTCTATTTATTTCTAGAAATAACTATTTCTATTTAAGATTTTAGTGAAAAATAAAGAAGTGTGATATTTATTTGTTGATTTCCTGACCTCTCTTTGTACAGCTCCTCGAAGTGATGGTCGCTCAGCCGCCCGTCTCCTTCGCAGATCACCGCCGTCTGGGGCGGCGCTCCATCCAGGAAGTGATTAGGCAGCATGATGGCGGTCTCCCCGCCGGACACCATGCTTTGGCGAGGCGCCGCTCGGAGCGGGCTCCTGGCTCGGTTCACGGCAGCCATAGAGGAGGAGGAGGAGCAGCAGGAGGACGAAGGCAGAGCCAAGTGATCCTCTAGATCCAGGCTGCCACTCAAAGCCGGCCCGGCGCCGACGCCGCCCCTCATCCCCGCGCCGCCCAGGCCAGAAGCCAGAAGCCTCAGGTTGTGAGGTTGGTGTTTGAGTTCGTAGTAGTTGGTGAGATCCATGTAGAGCTCTAAAGAACGAGGAGAAGACTGAGGAACCGACCCTTTAAACTCCATTTGGAGAAATTACTTTTAGCATTAGCTAAAGGCAGAGGCTGGTGGAGTTCCCAAAACCTTTACTCAATAAGAGCAGCACTACTTCAACATATCTTTACTGAAGCAAAAGTTAAAAAAGTATTTGGTAAAAAGTCGACTCAAGTACTGAGTAACTGATCAAATTATCAATCATTTCATATTTAAAAAATTACATCATCAGATGGACCAAAACATAAAGTTACCTGGAAATTTTGGTATTTTAAAGACAAAATTGACAATAATTCATATAAGTTACAAAAAGTAACAAAATCAGGCAAAATAAAATGTTTCCAAATAAGTTTCTTTCAATAAAAAACTTATGAAACTTTAAACTGTGGGTGTGTGTCTGTCTGGTGAATTTTTGGTTAAACATGTTTGTTTTTCAGTCAGTGGGAAGAAAATCCAGAAATTTGACTCAAGTAAGAGAAGAAATACTTCATAATAAAATTACTCAAAGTACAGAGTAGTAAAAATACTCCTAAAAGTAATTTTTTTCAAATAAGTTACTCAAGTAAATGTAATTGAGTAAATGTAACTAAAACCCAACTGTATAACTGATAGGACTTACAGACACAAGCTAACAGGTCAGAACATTAAATCAAGATTTCTAAATCAATATCTCGTCTTTTCGGTGAGGAGGATGAAAACAAACAAAACCAATAGTTTGATCTCTCTAGATAATATTTTATACTCTTTTAATAAAACAAATTTTATCTCGGTTTTTGGTACATTTTGGTTGTTTGAATTTCAGTATTTTCCTCAAATATTGCTTCTGTTTAGTTACAACAGCTGCTTTTTATTCCCTTTAATTATTATAAACTCGGCTCAGTTGCTGCATTAGTTCCATTTATCTGATTATTTCTTTCCACTTATGTCAGACAGAAAACAGCGTTCTGCTTTTAATCTCTGCTCAGCCTAACTGGATTCAGGTTCAGATGATTTAATTGGACCGAGTCATAACGAGGCAGCCAATCAGATTAGCTGGACGAGTCAATCCCTTCTTGTGGAAATGAAGAGCGGTCCTGGTGGAGTTCTCACTGTTTGTGGTGAGTTTCATGAGGATAAATGCCGTTACCTTTGAGTTGGTGCAGCACGTCGGTTCTCCCGGATGAAGCCAGGTTTCCTGCTTCCTGCTCCAGTTTGCTCTGCAGCTGCTTCAGCATCTCCTGCATCCAAACAGAGAAAACCCAGAGTTAAAATATTTACTAATCTGGCTAAAAGCACAAAGTCCTGGCATCAAGCATCCATAAAAACAGATTTTTATACATCAGATGGAATCAGTCCGTCTTCTTCCTGCTGCACATCCTGACTGATGAACTGAAGCTGGATAATCCAGCTGCACACGTGGCGGCGCACATGCATTCTGGTGTGACTGGAGCTGCAGGATTAACGGCTGCTTTTATAGATTAATTTATTATTTCTTTAATTCAGTGTTTTTGTTAAATTTGTAAAGAATATATGTGCAGGAAACAGGGCAATGAGAGAGGGGAAGACATGCGGCAAATGTCGAACCTGTGACCACCGACACGAGGACCAAGGCCTCAATATGTGGGGTTTGCCCCTGCGCCACCACAGCACCCTTTTAAATTATTACCATAAAATTCCTACTTCGTTCCACTAACATCACAACTTTTTTCTCATATTATTACTTTTTATGACTTTTATGTTATTTTATTACAATCTTATTCTCTTATTATTTTGACTTAGTGCCATACAACTTTATTTACGCAATATTATTACTTTATTCTTTAAATATTATGATTTTATTTGTCGTATTATTACAACTTTCTTCTTGTATTATTTTGTCTTACTGTCATACGATGTTATTCTGACTTTATTCTTGTAATATTACGGCTTTATTCTCACATTATAATGATTTTTGTTGATGACTTTATTCTTATAAAATTCTGACTTCATTCTCATATTATTATGATGTTTTTCTCGTATTATTCCAATGTTTTTCTATTTTTTTCTCTCAGCTTGGCCCTAACGGTTGTCAGTTTGGACCCAGCAGAAATGAAGCGATCAGAAGACCCATGACCTCTGACCCCTGGCCCTAGACAGACTGCAGCTCCCTTGGTGCACAAAGGAGAAAAGCAGGAGGTCCTTCCTCCCAGCAGCTGTCGGACTTTAGAACAAAATCAATAAATGTTTGTGTCCCTGCTGGAGTTTTCACAAACATTTATTCTGTTTTTACTCATTTTTAAATAAAAGCTTTTCTCTCATCTGTTTTTCTGCACTGCACTGTAACTTTTATGTTTTCTGTGTGAATCGACGTATCAAGGATATTTCTATTCTATTCAGTTGTTTGTTTTTCAGTATTTGATCTGATAATCAGTCAGAATCAAGGGAAACCTGCCTGTCACTGGTTTAGATGATTTGACTGAATGATTGTCAGTGAGTCTCTGCGGTGCAGCAGCTGCTCGACTCACCTTCATGCCAAACGTCTCCGTCTCCAGTTTGCACAGGTGGTGCGAGTTGTCCTCCAGCTCCCTCCGCAGGTGGGAGTTCTCCTTGCGAAGAACCTCCACCTGCAGGGCCAGATGGTCGTAGGAAACCACAGAGTTGGCCATGTTCACCCACTGCAGCGCCCCCTGCGGGACAACAGGGTTTACACATGCAGAACAAAAGCTGTAGGCAAACAGCTGATCACTGGCCGTTTGCAAAGTTACACAGTAAACAACTAACAGTTTATTATTTAAAGTCATATTTTCATCATGTTATTCATACATTTGTAAAGCCAATAGTTCTTAACTAAATGTTTACTTCACAAGCTAAATATCTGGGTTACAAACTAAACATTTAATTTGTAACTTAAATATTTAGTTCAACTAAACAAATAAATGTATTTGTTCTTTTTTCTGTCTATGTGGATCATGAGTCTAAAGTTAGATCATGAACATTAGTTGAAATAAAGCAATCAATAATAAAGCAAACAAAATAGTTCCAGAGTACATAATTATTTTCCAAACTAAATATTTAGTTCAGATCTAAACATTTAGCTTGCTAACTAGTTTATTAGCTAAATAACTAGCTTGCTAGCAAGCTAACCAACGTGGCAGTTAGTTAGCTAAAATGTTAGTTAGCAAGCTAATTAACTAGCAAGCGATTTAGGTAGTTAGCAAGCTAAATATTTAGTTCTGAGCTAAATGATTCAGAACATGTAGCCCAGTTTGAAAGTAATTTGGAAAGTTAGTAAGCTAACCAACTAGTTAGCTCAATATTTAGTTAATATGCAAATGAGTTAGTTTGGAAAGTAAATGTTTACTTTGGAACTAAGTGTCTAGTATTTAGTTCAGAGTTAAATATTTAGTTTGCAAACTAAATATTTGTTTCACTGAGGATAATGAGTCTCTCTGTCCTGCAGGAAACAGGAAAAGTTTTGTCTCATTTAATGTCAGTTTGCTCAACGACCCGTTTTCAGCTGTAATTTTGTTGCATCTCCATTAAAAACAAAGAAAACGTCTGAAAATTCCCCTTATGAGTGAGAGACGTTACCATGTGGGTCGCCTACCACTGCAGAGCTCAGCTGGTGTGGGTGTGTGTGTCTTTTATGTCCTCCATCAAAGAACTCAGATATATTGATGTTCACCATTGCCATGGTAACAGGGTGGCATCCCTTGCCTCATTAATATGGCGATACATCAAGTCTTTGCCAGCGCCTTTCTCTCTCTCTCCCTTTCTTACACCCGTGCGCGCCCGCGCACTCACACACACACACACACACACACAGAGTTGCAGTCGCTGCAAAGTGTTAATGATTAAAGGACACTTTGATCTAATCAAAGGTTTGAATCTTATTTGATTCACAGCATAAAATGTGTTGATTCTGAGCTAAAATGGAAACAAAAATGTCTGAGTGGCAGCTATGAAAGAAAAAAGCTGGAATCTAATCGGCAAAAAGCTGAGGATAACCAGCTTTTCCTACAGGACTAACACTGATCCTGAGTCAGCACTTACACTTAGGTGAAGAGAAAACCCAGAAAAATGTACAATAAATTTAATCTGAAAACAAAGGCATGAAAGGAGAGATGCTGCAATCTGCTGACAGGACAAAAAAGATTAACTGATGCTGCAGTTGTGAAAACAGTGAAGACTGCAGCACACCCACTCAGAAACACCAGGAATCTGAACATATTCATGCCCAGTATCACCCCAGTAACCTCCCAGTATCACCCCAGTAACCTCCCAGTAAGGATGCAGGTCTAAGAGAAAAGCAAGCAGCAGCAGACAGAATGAAGTCAAACGACGGCCTTAAACCCACTGATGTGGCGCCATTTTCCTACTACTCCTCTTGATCTTCTTCTTTGGATGCAGTTGCCATGGTAACCAAGCATTCTCATGGGAGGACACACAGGAGAGATGGAGGATGGGAGGATGAGGAGGCGGGGCGGCAGGAGGGAGAGCCACACTCTTTGTTAACAGATGCATGAAGACTTTAAATAAAGAATGAAAAACCTCAAATAAATAAAAATGAAATTAATATTAAAAGTTATTATTTATACAATGGAAAATAGGAGTAAAATAAAAGATATAAACCTAGAAAATGATTAATTTTTTGCTATTTAAAAATATGTTTAATATCCTGCAATAATGCAAGATATTGTTAGATAATTCAGATAAATACAGTATAAAAAACATGTATGAAAAATTATCTTTCCTGATGTTGATACAATATATATTGTTGTGTATTTTGATATATAAATTTAATAGTATAAAGTGTAAACTCCTCACTTCCTTTGAACTAGTAGCAAAAATGACTCTGTTGTATTTATGAATGTATGTACATGAATTGTTTTTTTATTGATTTGCTTTATTGATTGGTTTAAGTAAAGAAAGAAAGCAGTGTGATCTCTGAGTCTGGGCTAGCTGCTAGCAGACTGCGCCACACTGCAGCTTGCACCACTCTGGCGCTCCAGGCAGTCATGTGATTCCTCTGACCTTCTGAGTCACAAACCGTATTTAACGGCGCCGTTCCTCTGCAAGTTTTTAACGTTATGCATCATGGCTTTACAGCAGCAATGCAGCCAGGTAATAAATCTCATTTAAAATATAACCTGACAGTAGCTGCAGCTTCAGCTCGACTTTTTACAGATGATCCATCTCTACATTTAGTATCTTACTTAGCTCTACAGAATGTAATCTATCCTCCAAACAATTTTTAAGCATGTGGGTCTGTCAGTTTTGACCATATTTCTGAGATGTCAAGCTCAGAAAGATGAGCTTTCTTGCTTATCAGTGCAGCATCTCACAGCCTCATATCTGGACAATATTAGTTATGATATCTGTAGCAGCTAACCCATGCTTCCTCCTGTGTTTCCTTAACCTGGTCATTGCCTTCCTGTGCAAATCCGCTCAAATAAAATTTTTATTAGTTCGAAACTAAATATTTAATTTACAAACTAGTTAGTTCCCAACTAAATTTAGTTTGAGTAAATATGTAGTTTCAAAGTATTTATTATCTAAACAAAATATTTAAGTAAATATTTAGCTTGCTAACTAAATATTTAGCATCTTTAGGTCCAGCGCTAAATATTTAGCAAATATGCAAATTAGCTATTTTTGAAAAGAAACGTCTACTAAATATTTAGTTAGCAAGCCAAATATTTGATTTATTTGGTAACTAAATATCTAGGTTTCTAACTAAATATTTAATTTGCAAGCTAAATACTTAGTTAACAAAATATTTATTGCTAATTAAATATTTTGTTTGGAACTGTAATATTTATAAATATATGAATAAACTGGTGAAAATATGACTTAGAAAAATGAACAGCCTTTTTTTCTATGGCAGGTTAAAGACAAAATATTGCTATTAATTTCTTACTGTGTAACTTTACAAACGGCTCTTATTGGGCTTCTAGTCGGTTACCCTGATAGTGAACAGACGTTATGTTTATATTTATTATGCTATTTAGCTGTAAAGGATGAAATATGTCCTCCAAATAAATTTTAACTAATGTGTGGACGTGAGTTTTTACCAGACTTCCGAGACGTGAAGCTGGATGTCATTGCTTGTTAGCATAGCGTGTTTCTCTCATAGCCTCATATCCATAAACATGCTCATATACACCGTATTCCCGGGAGGGTTACTGTGGAAACGATTATGGGTTTACTTCCGGTCCCCACCGGAAGTAGCTTTATTTTACTGGCTAATGTATAGCTTTAAAAAAAAAAACTATATTCATAGACATTACATTATACGTTTCGGCTTGTCTTTGTATTAGCCTGGCCATTACAATCTCCTAGAACAAAATCAGTCCGAGATTTCACTTGACTATTTGTATTTTTTTCCGGCAGAATTTCTACTGGGCCAATCAGCGAACAGAAGGAGAAGTTGTGAACGATGACGTTGATTTTCTGCGCTGCTTTTAAAGTTGTAGTCAGCCTGTAGTTTTAGCAGGTAGTGAACGAAGCCGTTCAGTTCGTTTTGGCAACGCTTCCAGATAATGAATTAACACAAACAGCCGCCTCGTTCGGCTCGGCTCTTCTCTTTTCGCAGAGAAACATGTTTAATTACAGCGCAGGCAACTTCCGGTGTTGCACCATATTCTGTGACCACCGTAAACTGTGGCGCTGTCGCATTTTAACACAATGCTAAGCCAACAACGGAAGCTTTGAAGACGTGAGGGAGAGGAAGAATGCCAAAGTAAAAATAAAGAAAAAGTCGAACAAAGAATAAAAAGTAACATCTATCCTCAAATATTATGACTATTACAGAAATATAGACGATCACACAATATGATAGTGCCTATCATGAATTGTGACCACATTGTAAGTCATAGCAAATTACTTATTTAAACTGCCAACTATCTCCTTCCTCAAAATAATAAATAGCATCATAATGTTGTAGGTCAGACAGTAAAATGCGGCTGAATCATGAAGGGAACGGATGGAAATGGAAATTATATGGAAAGGATTGACTGCTGTGGCGGAGAGCGGTCATGCAGAAACATCACATTAAAAACTGTTCCTTGTTATCTAACCATTCGACACGACTGATAAGACCTTCAAGCTCCCAAACGGCCTGAGGGACGACGATTAAAGGTCAGAGGTGACACACTTTATATGACAGCTATGTAACATTTTTACAGTCCAGAGAGAAATGCTCATTTTCTGAAGCACGATGTCTGAAGGAATATTTGGAGTTCTCTCAGCTCCCTCCAGATTATTATTTTTTGTCTTTTAACCATATTGTAGTTCACATTATTTTATAGTCATAAACATTATAAAAATCAGCCCCAGTCAAACTGGTAAACTGGTACCTGTAACTTCAGGTACCAGTTTGACCTGTGACAGCGCTAAACCATCGACTTGAACTGATTATGTGGAGAAAAGTGAGACTTGCATAGCTGATCTGGTAATACTGCTATGGGAGGAACAAGCTAGTAAATGTCAGAGTATCAACACAGATCAGAACCAGAACAGAAATTACAACATCTACCTGAACGCTGCCAGAGTTTTGGTGTTTTGAACTGAAGGTTTTATCACAAACAGTTTTTACTTCAGTTTACTTCATGACAGAGTGCTTCCAAATCCCTCCATTGGGTGCCGGATTGATGGGTCTCCAAGCTACTGCACTTCTTCTCACTGG